AGCAAACATTAGATTTGATAACAAGACATTTATGGCATTTCATGAAGCCATTGATTTGGATATTAAACTAGTTTTTCTAATCATTGCCATACAATAATTGTCTGTCAAACTGAAATTGCAACAAAGCTCCAAATCTGATAGAAGGATTTAAACTATTCAGTTGTAAGCTCTCCTTTAATTGAGTTTGATTTTTAATTCTGTGTAAAACAGAGCTTTTCAATCCTCAAAGTTTCTTTTATTACCATTTATAGCTTTCTTTCCTTTTTAAATATGAGTTTTAAACTTGAGAATTGAAGAAACTGTGAAGAACTTTTAAAGTGAAAGATATTGAAAACATATAATTTGTGTTTGTATGAATTCAAACGGCTGCAATTTTAAGTGCCAAAGTGACAAAAAAGTAAAATTTTACAGAAAATTAACCCCTCAAAAAATTCCACCCTGTATAAACTGTTGTACAAATGCAGAATCATGTTTGTTAAAGATTTATGACAACCCAGGTGTGGAAGGGTTGAAAAAAAATATCAATGTGAAAATTGAAATATGGAAGGGTAAATGATACCTTTGGCTCATTACACGGACTGTCTCTCATCTTTGGTTCTCATCCTTAAAATTATGCCTCAGCAGGTTAGGGGACCATTACAATAGACTACACACAGTCACTCTCTATTCTGTCATCCCCCTCCCCTTTTCCCTACTCATTAAATGAATGCAGTTTAGTGATTAGAGTAAAACTGAAAAATCTTTAAGTAAATTGAAATTAAAAACTGTGACTTTCCTTTTTTTTTTAACCAAACATTTTAAAAGTTGTTATTTCTATTTAATCACCCATTTTGCCACCACTTGCAATTCATTTTAATTTCAATTATTATTACATGTGCAATTATTTTTCAAACCAAAAAAACCTCAGCTTAGTTAAAGCTATTTTATCTTCTTGTCAGTATGTGAGAAATTTTGCCAGCTGCTTGCAGGAGGTATAAATATAAGTAGAGAATTTAATTTATCTTCATCAACAAGCTTAAGCAGCTAAAAAAAAAAAAAAAAAAAAAAAAATGGCAAAAAGTTTGTAAAAAACGGGGTATGACAAGGCTTTTAGGAAAATATAATATTATGTCTTCTTTCAGCAGTGAATGATGAAAATGTTCACAAGCAATTAAAAAAAAAAGAATGATATCTCTATATGATATGGCGAAAAAACTAAGGCCCACAACTGTGAGGGTAACATTGATTAATAAATTATTTTTTCCCATTGCCAGACAGACTACATTATTCTTTGGGAGACGGAAAAAATGAATATGCTTCATTTAGTTGCCACTTCCCAATCTGATTATATAGGTTTAAGTGCTCCCGGCTTTGTTTTTTAAATTGGTTCCCTGACTTAAAATGTTGAGTGGTCAGTTACTTGTAATTGGACGGCTTAAGTCTTTTTCCATTTCTCCTCATTAACGTGTGCATTGGTCTGCATAACCAGATATCCTGAGTGTATATATTGGGGGACTATTTTTGGACCCGGTGCTTTTTATTCACAGGCTAATGCAGTGTTAATGTTGGGGATAATTTTCATATCCTGTAAATGGTTAACTGTTTGATGGAAAATAAATGTAAGCTCCTGGCACATGATTGGAAAATGGTTGTCAAAAACTTCCAAGATTTAGGCCATTAATGGAAAATGTCAATGCAGAAGGCCCTTCTGTTCATTAGACAGCCATGTTTTTTAACTTCGACTTGCCAATTATAATATAAGAGAACCCTTTTTGGCACTCTCTTTTGTAGGGAATAATGGATGTTGACTATAAAAAAGACTCTTTTTAAAAGGGATTTCATATTCTTAAGACTTATTATTAAATCTTTTTACTAAAAGTGTGTAACCCATTATGGAAATGATACCATATTGAGTCAAAAGGATAAAACATAGGGGAAGGGTCTATTAAGGAAATGGTGATATAATGTAGAGATAATCCTTTTCATAAAAGGCTAGCTTTTCCATGCTCTTTGAAACTCTTAAGCCTGGAATCTGAATATTTTATAGATAAAAACCTCTTTTATGCATATGAAAAATTTCTTTATTAATAAAAATAAAAGTTGCAGCACATTTATTTCATAAATTGATAAAAAATTGTAAAGGTGAAATTGCACGCAATTTACATCTGCACTTTTAATTATTTGATTAATAATTTATGCCAGTTTTGAGTAATTATTAAAGGTTAGAGTAGCGTTGCTATGCAGATTGAATGCAATATGTTAGTGGCTACATCCAAGAGTGAACTACATCTGTCAGCTATTGACAATCTTTTCAGAAGGCTCAGCCCACATCTAAAAAACTGTTTGAATAGCCAGATTGTCTTCAAAGAAAATTGACAGCAGTAATGTCTTATGCGAACGGCTCTATATCCTCAATCCTATTTCCTTCATATTATACTGTATTTATGTGTGCCTCTTAAACAGAGATTTAAGTATCGAACTAATAAGCCATTATGGAGTCATCCGTGAACAGTCGACTTCAGCTGAGGTGACAAACGACATTTGCCAGCGCTAGCTCTCTCTCTCTCTTTCCTTTATAGAACATTCATGGCCCCAGTCTTAAAAAGTTTTCTATTGTTACCACTCATAAGCTGACTGGAAAGATTATGCATATGACTTTTCCTATCAAAAGAAAAAAAATCATTAAGGTGGTATTCAGGCATTGGACAGGATTTGATAGAGCTGATTATGGCCGTCTTGGTCGTGTGACATCTCATCTAAATGTGAGGACTGGGAAGGCTTAGCAATTCATGGTGTCAAGATGAATGCAGTGGCCAATCGGATGAAATAATGATACACTTTTTCGGGGTCGGTGAAAATTATTTCGGGAGAACTAAAGACATGGGGTGCATTAACTTCAGGAACCTGTGTGTTTCGCATCAACTTTTTTAAAGTCAGGTGTTAGTACTCATTGAAAAAAGCAACCTTCATCTTTCTTGGCATGGAAATTAATTGTTTCTGTGTATATGTCTTAAATTACCATGGCAATGCAAACAGATGGTAAGTTTAGCTTATATTTTTAAATTTTTCTGCCTTCCGGATTCTTTCTCCCATATTTTTCCCTGATAAATAAATCAGCGCTGTTCTGCATATAATATTCACTTAATAACCCTGTAATTTTAAAAGCACTCTGTCAATTCTATGTGAAGTTAAATATAAAAAAAAAACCTATGTAAGCTGTTCTGTTGACTTTATCGGCATGATCAGCCACTGAAGTTGACTGTGTGTCTATAACTCCAAAGCTGCCGAAGCTTTTTATAAAATCAGTGAATTTAAAAAGCATTTCTGTGTAAAATACCAAGCTTTGAAATGTAAAACGCATAATTTTTTTTGGGAGAGTAAAGAAAATGCTAGTGAATGTGTCAGTTTTAGGTAGGAAAGCAGTAGGAAGTATATTTATGAACATTTGGGATCAGAATTAGTTATAGTTCTTTGGATTAAAATACCAGATTTCAATCTTAATTGGGACTTTTTCTGCCCTTGTTTTAACACACTGTCATAATATGTAAGTATGTCTTTTATTAGAATTAGGTGGGAAAAATCTATTTGGAAATAATCCTTGGGTATATTTTATTAATTCTCACAACAAAGCTATTGTAAAGGGTGCCCTAGCTGTCAGGTATTATCAGTTCTGATCTGTGACAGTGTAATGGTAGAAGACTTGATTTGAAATGGAATTATTCTGTCCAGATTATGAACTTAATCGTACAATTGTTAACTATATATGGGGGCAATCTGGGAAATTGCCTGATATTTCCTGTCTGTGTCGTTTACCTCTACGTACTCGGAATTACTTTTCCCAGTGAAAAAAAAGATGATTTAATCTTATAATCTGTCTTCAACATGATTACATAGTCCTTTTCGTTTTAATTGAGATCTTCAAATTTTTTCCATGTAACATTCAGAAAATTCAAGAAGTATTGATTTGAAAATACTAAATTCTAAATTAATGTGGATTTTTGAATGTTATTAGGTCTAAAGGTTTGAAACTGTGATACATACTGATTAGAATGTCAGTCACAGAATTAAGTTTCATAATGACATTATTAGATGGAATGAACTATACTCCAAATATTAATTGAAAGAAAATTACCAGTTGTGCAACATTTCAACATTTCTTCAATATAATGTTTTTAGGGGGAGGGTGTTGAAAGCAGCTAGATTATATTTCATTCTTTTTTTTTTATTAAATGAGATAAAACCCGAATTGAAGAAAAATGATTAAATTAACAATTCTTTATAATGGTCTTTGTAATAGTTAATACAATATGATCATATTATGAAGCATTACAGTCAATGTTTTACCATATTTACATCTCTATAATTTATTATTTTAAGGATTGCAAAAAGCATTTGTGTATTACTAATTAAATTTAAAAAAAAATAAAATTCATTTGGTTAAGGCACTTTAGTATTATTTTGCTGAAGTGAAATTAACTTGTCAAAAAATATAATGGGATATAGAACTGCATGCATGAGCTCATGGATAATTAAAGGTCTCTCAAAGGTTCCAATATTTGTATATATGCAATTGATTTACTTTAATTACCTTTGAAAAATTGTGCAACAATATTTTCAAAGGATGTATGTGAAATGAATTCCTTATATATTTACCAATATATGCAAGTCATAGAGAAAGGCATTAGTGCATGGGCATTAATGATTAAAAACTAATCTAGGGGTATGAATATTAAGTCCAAACAAATTGATGTGTTTTTCATGTTCCAAAGTAAATTATTTCATGAAGGAGAGATTAGTATAAAGCCTCTGGGGTTTATTCGGCAATATCATTTGTTGTGAGTGTGTGTATATTGATCTAATAACTTCAAACATAAATTGTTTACACTCTTGTCATCAAAATTAATTTTTCCATCTTCTTTTTTTTTTCTACGTATTAATTGTGTTATTATATTCAGGCCCTGTTCACATTCCCAGGAAGCAGTTAGCATGGCCACCAAGCAATACTTTGTTTTATTCTTCAGGCCCTGTTCAGATTTCCCAGGAAGCGGTTAGCATGGCCACTAAGCAGGACTGTGCGGGGTGTAAGAAGGCCATCTCGGACCGGTTCCTTCTGAAGGCCCTAGAGCAGTACTGGCACGAGGACTGCCTGAAGTGCTCCTGTTGTGACTGTCGCCTCGGGGAGGTGGGATCCACTCTCTTCACTAAGGCCAACCTCCTCCTCTGTAGGAGGGACTACCTGAGGTACTTAGTAATTTTTTTTTTTAATTATTTTGTTAACTATTTTTGTTAAATTATTTTGTTAATAGCTGTAACTATTGTTTCAAAAAGTTTATATGCAAAGGGTAATTTTTATTTTGTACTGGTTTGTTTGTGGGTTAGAACAATGATCGTTGATAAAATGTGTATTCTACTTGTGTGCCAAGTTATACTGAAATCCAAAACAGGCATTTTGAATTTTGACAATTTTTAGTAACCACAGCAACACCGTTCATCAAAATTAAAATTCGATACACAGAATTATGTATCTTAGTGTATTCTACTTATGTGCCAAGTTATATTGAAATCAGACCAAAACGGTTGTATATTTCTATTTTTTAACCACGGCAACAGTTCAAAAAGTTTATATGCAGTGTAACTTGTGTGCCAAATTATAATTTTTAGCATTTTTTAGAAATTTTAAAATAACCACGGCAACACCATTCAAAAAATCAAAAACCGATACAAAAAAAAAATGTCAAATTGAAAAAAAAAAACATTCAAAATAAAGCAATTGTGTAAAAATATTTGAACACTTGATAACTGAATTGTCATAATCAGTTTTTTGAGAGAGACCTAAAAAGGATTCAAAATAAAGCAATTGTGTAAAAATATTTGAACACTTGATAACTGAATTGTCATAATCAGTTTTTTGAGAGAGACCAAAGGAGAAGGGTGCAAGGAAGGGCAACAAAGATCACATTACACTATTTTATTGAATTTTATTTCCACAGACAGGCAATAACTAGACAATATTCGAATATATCAGATGTAAGGGTTGTGGAAACTGAGTTCATTGACCTTCTCAAATATACTACAATACATGCATCTTCATTTTTCTCTCACTGGAATATCACCAGTCATGTAAGAATGAAAATTTGTGTATTTTGCAGCTCATAGAGACATTGTTAATAACAGATTACCATAGAGGAGGTGAATAGCAGTAGCGCACCAAAACTCAAGGGAATTTAAAAAATAAGGAAGAAAAGAATCCTTTCATTTTGTATCATAAGAGACCAATTCAAAAAAATTTTATTTAATTATCACTATTTTATTGGGGGTTTTATACCCATATATTTTTTGTTGAATTTAAAACTTGGTGAGAAAATAGAAGGGCATATGTTTTCAGCATTTTTAGAAATAAGACATGACTGATATCAGATTTTGATCTTCTTCAATTGCAATAATTCACTTTTTCAGGCTCTTTGGAACAACAGGTTACTGTTCAGCTTGCTCCAAAATGATCCCTGCATTTGAAATGGTCATGAGAGCCAAAAGCAATGTCTACCACTTGGAATGTTTTGCCTGTCAGCAGTGCAATCATAGGTTAGTGATATGAAGTTATGTTATATAATTCAATTACAGTGGAACTTGGATATCCAGGACATCTGTATCTCAATTACCCTGTGAGTTGGAAGTCCAACCATGTGACTAAAGTCAAACCTTATTATCTGAAACTCAATGGGACAGAGAGAAAAACTTCATGTTATCCAAGGATATGAGATACCCAGGGTAAAATACTTAAAAAATAAGGGGTTGAAACTTCCAAATTACTTTGTCATATCACATCCATGGTACATGTATTCTTGATATTGGTGCCTGAGATACCAAAGTTCAACTGTATATTTTTTAAACGTGTATTTTAATCTCAGTATCTCAAATCCTTATCAAAAATCTCAAAGTGTTTTCCTGGCCCATTTGAGTTCAAGATAAGAATTAAGTTTTGATTGTATGGGCTTTCTATGTGGTCAGTATCACTTGATGTCTTGGTCAAGTTTTTTTTTTATGATTACTCTCAAATTATATTAACCAACTGAAATATCCATAATTCATAATATAGCATGGGTTTGAATTTCAAACTAAAAAAATTCATTTCAAGTTTGCAGTAATTTTATATCCCTCTATATTTTTGAATCATATGGCAAAAGATATTGGTGAATTTGAAAATGCCAGAGATTTGATACTTTTTGCTTAATTTGATTCATAAAGGAAGTCGGGGGATGGTGGTCTGATTTTGTTTAAAACTAATTTCCTCCAAATGTTAGAATTAGATTTTAAATTTCAAAAAGATTTAAACCCCTCACACTCTTTTGCTATCTTTCTTTTTAAATAAATGGGTGGAAATGGAGATTGGCAGCTCCTTGAGGAAAATTATTCAGGTCCATCTTAATGATATATACTGTCAGTTCCTGTAAGCATAGGTCATTACACTATAGTGGAATTCTGTTAATTAATTTGTGAAAAAAATTCTGATCTGAGAGTCAATAATATAGATTACAGAAGGCTGATTATTCACCTACATTGAACATGAAAACCGCATAACGTTATGTTGTGTGGTGTAATATTACTGCATGCAATATGCAAACTTAGGCTTTTGGGTGGCACTCTAGCATTATTCTCATATATTATTTACATAACAAAGAATATACACATCTTGACCCTAATGCTTGGAAAGAAAAGATTAGTAGAGGTTTATGCTATGGATTCTGTTTAAATATGCTCATCTAAACATATGCAAACTTGAGCACAAACACATAGCTAGTCCAAGAATATTTGACCAAATTTCAATTTAGCATACTCGATCAGAGTTTTACTATGGTACCTGATTTTTAGAATCATGAAATTATTAAAATTTAGTAATTTTATTTGGTTTATCATGGAAAAAAATAATGGTAAAATTGTCAATAAAATATTTCCCTGTAGTAATAAATATGAGTGTTTTTTTTTTCAATCTGTAATAAGAATTTGGACTTAAGACAGTGTAGTAAATATCATGTTATTCTCACTACAGGTTCTGTGTTGGAGACAAATTCTATCTTTGTGACAATAAAATACTGTGTGAGTATGACTATGAGGAGAGAATGGTGTTTGCCAACATGACCTGCAGCTACAATGCCTTGTCCCAGATCAAGAAACAGACCCAGAGTCTCAGTGACGATCTGTCCAGTGGGTACGGCAGTCCCAGCCCTAATTCATTATAGGGGGCGGGGACATGGGACAACCCCCCCCCCCCCCCACTCCTGTGTACAGAATCTGACACCTTATTACATAATACATCTAGTTCGTGTCCTGTGTTTAACGCTCATTCGACACTGTGTCATTTTTCTCTTAGTCATGTGTGTTACATCACATCCAAAAAAAGGCTACAAAAGTATACATTTACGTTATACGCATCTCTGACAGAGTCCAAGAAGGATAACTCTGTTCATCATGAACCATAACTCAGGACTTGGATCCTAGTCAAACCTACAGAAAGAAACCCTAGTCACCATGCCAGTCAGTGAAACATTTGTAATTGTCGAAAAATATGTAAATGTCGATGTTATTCTACACATGAAATGTTGTTCTTTTTTGCCACATTTATAGTTTCTCCCATAATGCAATAACGGTAGTGAATTCCTAGGTAGCCAAAAGATTTGTCCATTTTACTAGAAAAACAAGACTTGTTTTGACCAATTGTTTATATAAATGATCACATAAATAATCTTATGTCAAGCATTCTTTAATTTAGATAAGATTATTTAGGTTTACGAAGCTTTTCTTCATAGCAATCCTTTACCGTATTTATTGTATGCAATGTAAAATTATTTTAAGATTTTTTTGGAGGAGATTGAATTAAAATCCTTTGTAAAATGTTTTCTTATATGATCAAGAATGTTCAAGTTTTCAATTGTTTCTTGTTTTTGTTTTTAGTCAATACTGATTATATTTTCTCATAAACACATGTCTTGAACTTTTGAATTAAAAATTTTACATTTTAATATCAAGTTAAAAGCAACTGTAAGTGCATGGTTTACAACTTGTGTAAACTTTTTTTTTCTTTTTTTTTTTTTTTGCTTTTGTTAAATGTTTTTGTTAGGTTTTGTAATTTTTTTTCATAATCATTGGTAATTCTTATGATTATTTGAATTAATATGTCCATCATATTGCAATTTTTGTAAATATTACTTACAAGAGCTAGTTTATACATGTACATGTATGTATACTATTTATTCTGTTGTAAATGAGTGCTATTTTAGGTCAAAGTGCAACAGTGGTGTTTGTAAATGCAATACCAACAATTTAATGTCTTTCACATTTCCATCTAAAAATTTTACTGAAGATTAAAATTAAAATGACAGCTGTAGTACCCCTTGATCAGAATTCAGAACCCACATGTGTGTATATACATCAAAATTTTGCAATAAATATCATTTTCTGATGTAAAAACATGTGTGTACACATGTTAGATTTTGTGCTATATAGTTCATAAACCATAAACATGTGTAGGTCTTTTTTCTACAATATAAATAATAGTGAAGACTTTTATGTAAATTGAGGGATTTAATTTACACAGAAACATTCCATCCTTATTTCATCCGGTTTTGAAACACTGTGTACATTTTATGACAACACACACTTTTATTAATTTATTCAATTTTAATACATTGTATATTTTATAATTTTTCGAAAAATATTAAATCAAATGTCACACCATGCATGTGAAACTGTTTCCTTAAATAAAAGGATTTTCTGATTCTTTTGAAGGTAGGTGCATCAACAACATTTGGGTGGGTTGGGGGGGGGGGGCTAATCCGAATGTAAAGTTCTCTAGTTTATCCGAATGGAGTAGTTCTCTAGTTATTGGTGGATGTAAATTTTTCAAACTGTGGGTAACCCATGAAATCCAAAAAAAGTTTTCAAAGTACCAAGTATATAGGAAATTTACTAGTCAAAAAATTGCTTTGTATTGCATGGAGATTTATGCCATTTCTTGTCCAACTGTGTCGTTAAAATGGTGGTAATTATAGAGTCTAGTCCTGAATGTAGTTTTAAAAAAATTATATGGGGGCAAGTGCAAAATTATGTAAAGGTTGCACTTTAAAACATTATTTAAGAAATTTATTACTAGACATATCTCGATAATTTTTGCCAACCTTGTTGGAACCTTCATTTACTTTTTTTTTGTCATCATTTGACCAAAAATATTCTACTAATTAGATAAAAAATTTATGGTACATATATGTATTTTTCTTTCAAAGAATTTTTTCATTGCATTTTTAACAACAATGTCTACAAAACTCTATTGTTTCAAGTGCAAATTCTAAGTCAATATTTTTTTTAACTCTTTAAAATATGTAAAATATATGTCACATTTTTTTCCAATTTCAAATAGATAGAACATTTATATGATAATATATTTCAGTAGATTAGACAGGCATTTGATTGATTGGTGCATGTTTACTGTATGGTTTCACTGTCCGTTGATTTGTTGATGTTCTTTTTAACTTTTAAATTTAATATAAAATCATGGCATTTTATTTTTTGCTTTTACAGAGTTTATTTAGAAAGATTAAATAAAAATCGAATAAAATTTCAAAATATTTTTAGATTCATTTCTTTTTTAATCCACTGAGATATTTGTATCCAGCTTTTTACTAACTCTCCAGAATTGAAGGCTGAAGTGAGCTTTTCTGATTACACACCAGGCTCATAGGAAGCAATCTCAGTTTGGGGGGCACAGCCATATATTTTCAATTTTGGGCACTATCAGCTACATAAAATTCCTTGACAAGCAAAAACAGATGGGAGCATATGGTATACTCCCTGTTGTTTGTTCATTCAAACAACACAAATCAGGAGCAGAGCAAACAAGGACCTCTAAAACATCAGAGGTGGGATCAGGTGCCATGGAGGAGTTAGCATGTGCTCCTGGCCATGATAGGAAAAGGATGGAAAATTTGTTGACAATTCAGTGTGTAAATAATGGCCTTACAATTAATATGAAAACATAGCATATCTTAGGTCCCTGGATTCATAAAAATATTGAGACTTGGACCTTGACTTTTTGCTAACTGATGGATTTACATGCGGTGTATATACAAATGATATGGACATACCGGTAAATGAAGTCTGCAAGTTTTCTTATTATGACCAAGCATTTAAACAAGATACTAAGACTTTAATTTTTGAGATCTCCTACAATTATTACATACACATAAAACACATATATATATTAAGTTTTACAACTCTTTAGAAATTCCATCTCCTCTGCTGTGAATTTGGGAGTCAAAACAACATTGTCATAATCAAAGTCCTCATCCAAGCAAAAAGCTGTCACTTCATTGGAACACTCCTGTAACAAAATTCAAAGTGGTCAATATACAGTTTTAAAAATATATCATTTAGGGAGTTATGATTACAGTTCCCCAAAGCAAGGACCATTAAAAAGTCCTGGTCAAGGGGAACCAGAATCTTGATTACTCCCTTAATAATATACTTTTTAACTATTTTATTATACCAATAACAAAAGTAAAAAAAAATGTAGAGAATTCTGGATAACTGGGAATTAGCTTTGTAAGTATAAATAACACAATACTACCTCTACTGATTCCTCAGTTAGTAGCACCTCTGTTCTGTAGGTGGCAGAAAAGTCTAGAATCCGCTCCTTGTTTTCCATCTGAATTGCACTGGGAGATCCAGGATCCTCCACTTCTCCAGGATTTAACAACGAATCGGAGGGAGGTGCTCCCACTCTGTCTTCACTACTTAGCTGTTCTGAACACTGTGCACACTCCCTCTGTAGATCAAGTTCACTCACTGGGTTATTGGAGTCAAGGAGTGAATTGGTTTTCTCAATGGAAACACATCCTTGATCAGAAGCCTTGATTGGGAAATCAGTGTTCTGGGATTTAGAGGGAATGTTAAGGACTCTTGACTTATCACTGTTGTCTTGAAGGAGGTTGTCAATGTCTTCTGTTTCCTCATCAGACACTGGCAGCTTATTTTCCTTAGAATTTCCTGTTCATTAAAGAGAGAATATGGTCTATCTGTTCTCCAGATACTGAGACCTACCATCTACCATCCCCCACCCACCTGTGCACCCCATAAAAAAATCAAGCATAACTGTTTCCCTAAGTTACATCTGACCACTATATTTATACAATGTACAGAAATCCATATATACTTGTTACATGTACTACGTATACAAAATAGTGAAATAATATAATAATAACATTTGATTTTTAAACTTACGTACATGGGCTCTTAAAAATTTTATGCATGGCATAATATAATTCATTTTGCCTAGAATCTTAAACACACAGCCAATTGTAATTAAACCGCAGGAAAATTAACAACATGTCAAGGTTGCTTGTACCTTCTGAGCAGGCCTTGCTTGAGGACACTTTATTGTCCTGTGCACTGAAACTGGCCAGGTATCCTCCTGACATAAAATCCTCCTCTGGTTCATCAGAATCACCCTCCTCATTCTCCATGCAATCCATCACAAAATTATCAAACTGAAAAGGGAGACTAATCTTGTGAGTCATCAAAACATCATTTTTTTTTCTGTGGTAATACTTCTTATTCATAAGCACATCGAAAAAACAATTTTTGATCTTCATTTCTTTGGTGCAATCATTATGGTGTTTTGGAAAATCTGAAACTTTCTGAAAACCTTCATATTGTAACTGCAGGTTCTCTTAGCTTTCTGATGCACATGCATTTACCATAAAACCTTACAAAGTAAAACAAAAAAAAAAAAAAAAAAAAAAAAAAAAGCCTTTACCATGCTTCAACTCAACACAGATGTATTTATACCTTAAGCTTGCTTGTAACATCAGACCCAGTTGGTGACTTCTGTGACATGATGCTGGTCTTTTCACCATCTTCAAGTAACTGAAAACATAATAATATCAATTTTGATACACTTTCCTAAATGATTTATTTAAACTAAGCTAAAAATTTAACTTTAGAAAAGTGAAGTCAACATCAAATAAAAAGTCAAGTCAAAAATGTTGATGTAGTTCAGTAGCTCTCTTCAAAATGTAACAGAATATAAAGTTTTTGTAAAAATATCTTAAATAATTTCTTAGAAAGTGAGCTTTGACTGAGCTAAATGCAAAGCTCCATGGAAGGACAAGCGAAAGGACAGAAGGATGGAAGGACAGAAGAACAGAAGATGGACAAACTTTACATGCCCAGGTTATATTCATGGCAGGGCATAAAAATAGTGGCTTGAGAAAAAAAAATATGACAATAGTCTTTTCTCTTGACACATTGTAAGGGAGTCTGGACATAACTCATTGTAATGAATTCAAGAAAATGTACCCTCATTTTGAAGATCAATTGTCTCTATTTGGTTTATAAAGTTTGCACTTCCATTTTTTTTAAGAGTTAAAAATATCATATTCAAATTCTATCAGAATTCTATCTTCTATAAGAAATCAAACCTCTTCCTCCAATTCATCATCTGTATTTTCTTTTAAGATTGCTTTACTTTTATCCTCTAACAATGGTTTTGTTATTTCTTTTCCTTTGTTTTTGTTATTCTTTGTCTTGCTTGTCAATGGTTTCTCCAGTTTCTTTCTTCCTGGATTGACCATCTCTTTCTTCAGTTCATCTATAAAAATCCATTAAAATATCCATATTATAGTTTATACCATGTACATAATAAATTTTCAGAGGGCCTTCAGAAACGACAATTTTAAAAGGCTAAGGCATTGCAGATGAAGGTATTAAATAAATTTAGACCTGTATAACCATATTGTTGTCTCTCAGTATTTTTTATTATTTTAAGATTTGTCAGTGAGATTTGGCAGTTGTCAGTAAGATTTCACTTTCCATCAATTTTACATTTCATACTAGAGAACATCTACATTTCTGATTGCCTTTTCTCACATTTTTTAAACCACCACTTTTTTTGAAACATGATCTTTTATATGTTTATGCTAAACATGACACCACATTATTGTGAAATCTTGTATCTGTTTAATGATTAAAAAGCGTCAAAATGACACTTTCATAACAAAAACGTTCATAATACTGCTACCGGTATTAAATATTCAAACATACAGATTTTTGATTTTCATATTTTCTTAAAAGCAAAATGTGAGATGAATTTTGGACTCAAAAGCCATAAAAAATATGACGAAATTGTAAGACTAAACAGGTCAGTAAATCTGTGACTTCAGTTTACTGTACAAATCTTTCTTTTGACAAGCATCAATCTAATTAAAATTAGATGTTAGATCTGCTCGCATACTCGTTAGCTTAACATCTAACAACATCCCATAGAGGGTCACATCAGAGGTCAAATTCGAAACAGCTCTAGACTTGTTCGCTTCAACAATATGCTTTGATTTTGCAGGCGATGATTTGATTGGTTGACAGAATTTGACATCTGAGGTGACCCTCTATGGGATCTTGTTAGATATGTTAGCGTAGCTAGTATGCGAGCGGATCTAACATCTACTTTTAATTCGATTGGACAAACATACAAAATACCTTTGTTTAAGTATGTAAACCCATCCAGAAATTCGTCATAGGACTGCTCTTGGATTGTCATTATTTGGTCCAGTGCTGAAGCCATGTTGACACCTAGGCTATTGATTACATTATCATGTGATGGCCTTGTAGCCATGGTACGCTAAACAAATAGAGCAAACAGTAAAATTTTTACCTGCTTTTAATTGTCCTATCCAGGTAAAGTTTGGCTTTGCAGAGAAAGAAATTATTTAAACCATTACATAATGTATAAAGGGTTATTTCTAGATTTTAAAATTCGCCCCCTCCTGTGAGTAGGGCTGGGACGATACATTTTCTTCTATATCGATACGTATCACGATATTTGAGCCACGATATGATATGTATCACGATATGTATAATTGCTTATAAAATCTTTTTTTGCATTGAAATAAACAAATTATTTCTTTACAAATAATATTCAAAATAGTTGTTTATATGTTGTAAAATAACAATGTTTTACTCAAGTGGTGTTAATTATTATTTATTTCATAATTATATTTATCTTATTTATTTTATATATTAAACGTCCCAAATGTTAAATTAACAAAGAAAAACAGAAGATTTTTTGGGTGATATTTCTTCATATGTATCGATATGCGTATCACCTTCACAAATATCTCGATATATCCTCCCTGCCCTACCTGTGAGTAGGGCGAAAATAAAACGGGTGCGAAAATTTCACTGTATACAGCAATCAGGATTGTCCAGTGGATATTAAAACTGTTTTTAAAAAAAAGTTAACCATGCTTACACAGTAATAACTGTGAACAGGCCCTCACCACATTTCTTTTGTCCCATATACTTGTAATGTTACTTCTATACACGATTTTGAAGAATATAAAATGATTTGCACAGGGAATAACTTTTACCAAAATAAAAAACAAACCTTCTTGAGATTGCTTATGCCTTTTATCCCAAAAAATAATCCATATAAATACGAAAATCCAATTAAAACGTTTTTCTCGCGATTCAAATTACAGGCCATGTTTACATTCGGAACTCTCTAGATTGTTCCAAGTAAATGCACTATGGATTATCCAGTGTTTCTTTCTGCTACATTAAATACTGTTAAAAAGTTAAAACGGGTCCATAGGACAATATCATTTTAACCATAGAACATTCTATCTAGTTGAGGGGGTACAAGGATAACCAGAGAATTACGTCATTAAAGGTGGGAAATTTCCCCAGCCCCCAGGTCTCAGCTAAAACCACGCATGTGTAAAACTAAGAGTAAGCAGTAAGAGTAGAGGATCCTCCGACCCTTTTCTTGAGGAATGAGAATCCAATCTCACTCACTGCTATGGGGAAAATCTTCCGTCTTAAAAATATTGCATTCATTCTACATTAATTTTATGAAAAAATATCATATTCCTACCAGGACCCAAAAGAATTTTTGCAACAGCTAGATTGTTGATGGTGTCCAAGGTATGTGGGGAAAAATACAGGAAGTAAATTGTGCTGTATAAATAGGGACCTGACTGGAACAGACGTATACTTCCGGATTTATTAATGAATTGATTTTCTTTATATATGCTTAAAACGATTTACACGAATTTCTGAATCGTTTAAACGTTTCTCTAAATTGAACAAAAGAGAATTTCTCAATCGTAAAAATGATTTTAAAAAATCCTACTCGATCGTACAAACGAATTTCTAGTGAAACGATTTTAGTTAAAACAATTTTTGATATTTTTTCTGCAAAATTGAAATGTGCGAAAGCCCTTTGGGTTCTATTTCGTATATAAAAACACGATAACATTTTCGCGTTATAACGCGAACTGGTCTATGAATGCCAAACTTTAGTGAGTGGTAAACGCAACTTTAAAAAAAATCGCTTTATTTTCGCGTCAGAATGCAAAACTTTTCCAGATAAACCGAGATATTTGCATAAAATTTCAATTTTCACTTGGTTTAATGATTTACTTTTGCATGGATGAGTTTCTGTAGGAAACTATATACACTATATAGTGTGCTGTCTGTGGATGCTTGATCAAATCTATAGTAATTTTCTGGGTGATCAAACTACATGTATGACCCCTTTTTCCACCCCCAACAAAAAAACTGAAGAGTCACCATCTTTATGTTTGGATTGGACGGATATTTGGGTTTCCCTAATCAAAACATGAATTACGCGCTCATAATCCTTCCGGCTGTAATATTAGGGAAACCCACATCTTCTCCACCCCTCATATTCTATTGAATATATTTTCATACCCTCAAAAAATGTGGGAGTATGAGGCGCCGTTTTGGTATTTACTGGCAAAAAGTGATATCACCTATTCGAATAGGTGATATCACCAACTGAATAGGTGATATCACCTATTCGAATAGGTGATATCACTTTTTGCCAGTAAATACTAAAACCGCGCCCCATATGAAAGACTTGAAACGAATTGAAAAGGAAAATCTTTTTTGACTCGGTCCCATTTGGTCCGTCCTAGATTGAAAATCAAAATTCCGAAACATTATTGCATAATCAGAAGATTTTTTTTTACCTTTTCAAACGTGGTATTTAAAAAACTATATATACTAAATTTCATCAAAATTTTCAGGATTGATGTGCCATTTTGAAACATGAAAAATGTTGAAAAAAAAAAATTAGCTAGGAAATTACGAATTTTCAATTTTTCCACTAAAAATCTATTCGTTGGTCATGTGCACAAAAAAAAAAAAAAAAAAAAAAGGCGTAAAGTCGTTGGCCTATGGAATGCCATATACGACAGCCAACTGCTTACTGCCAACTGCTGACTGCTTACTGCCAACTGTCAGCTGCTTATGCCAACTGCCACACATATGAATAAACTTTATTTTTATATTGATATTTATGTAAATTTATCACATTTTTTGTAACTCAGTAAAAAAAATCCAACCCAGAAATTTCTTGACAAGAAAAAAATACGTAAAGCCCTTTCCTAAATTTGAAAATTTTTTCGGCCGGGGAGAGGGGATTCTTATGCGTCATGCCTTCATGTGTATGACATTTTTCATACCAACTTAACACGAATCCACATTTTTGGTTGGGGAGGGGGGAGGTTCTAAGGTCCCTTTTAGTTGATTTATTTTATACATTAAATAACTTTTAGTTGGTTTAATTTGTGCATTGAATAACTTTACAAATTTCATTACTCCTCTCTCTAGATAATGCATGTAAAACATATTTTATTTTACAAACCGTTTTCTAAGTGGAGGGTCCAAGGTCAGTTATACCGGTAGTTCGTTTAGTTTATTTAACGTATGATTGTACTATATATATGCATGTGAAACATTACAGGGACGTAGCAACAAAATCTTTACTATTGAAAATGTATATTGAAAGGATGTCCCCCCCTACTTCTTTAGTATAATGATATCAAAAAATTGTGTTGAAAAAAAATGTAAGTGAAAGGTAGTTGACCTTAAAAAAAAGTTAGCCACTTGGATCCGTGCCTTTTTTTCCCCTTTTTTTGAAAATTCATATAAATATCAATACAAATATAAAATTTATTCAAATATGTGTGGCAGTTGGCAGTAAGCAGCTGACAGTTGGCAGTAAGCAGTCAGCAGTTGGCAGTAAGCAGTTGGCTGTCGTATATGGCATTCCATATTGGCCTATATATATTGACTTAGTTTTAATTATTTTGTAAAGTGGGTTTTCCCATGATTAAATATTTAAATCTATTTTATGATGTTTGTGTTAAACACAATCCAAAGTTAAATAATCATATTTTGTTTTATTACGTATTGTTTTATTACATTTTGCGTTGTATTAATGCAAAAATTGATCAACACTGACAAAATATGACAACAAAAAAATACGTTATTACATTTTGCACTGATCTCCACGCAAAATGTAATGATTAAGAAATCCTGTTATTATATTTTGTATTATTATATTTCGCACTGATTTCGACGCAAAATGTAATAATTAAGAAATCATTTTGTTTAGGTCTTGACGTAAAATGTAATAATCCCAGTGTAACAGTGTAAATTAGTGTAACATAGTCCAAAACACATTCCAAAAAGAGAATGGGCTATATGTACTGACCAAAAAAAGATAAATAATTTAAAATAAAAAATAAATAAAATAGAAAATAATAATAATAAAAAAATAATAAGCAGAGTCCTGGCAGGTTTTCCTCAGAAAAAAAACGATGCTCCCTGGCTCTCCCACTAAAAGTTTTAAAATCACACTAAAAAAGGGACGATTTCAAAAGCCAATACTTCATGGCATAAAACTAAGAGGTTTTTTAGTAGAAAAAAAAATCTTGGGGGGGGGGTATTTTGAACAATGTACCATGTGCACCACTCGACGAAGAAATAAAAAAGTGTGACAGATGGACGTACAAGTTATAAATGATTTTAAAAAATGCTCGAACTCCCTTTAGAAAGTTTGGTTGTAAATAATATAGAGTGTACAGGAACCCGGTTCAGAATAAAGCCTTTTATGCTTTCCTATTTAATTCTAGAAAAAAAATTTTGTAACATGTACTTTAGTTTTAGTGTATGTCTGCAATATTCCAGAAAAGTAAGATTGTCATTGTCGGGAATTTTGATTTGAGCTCATAATAGAACAGTTTTAGCAAGTGCACCTGTTTTACTCCGTAAACTTCATTTTAAATTTCCCTCGTTTAGCTTTAGAAGAAAAGTACCTTCAAATAGAAGAGTTAAGCTATATTCATCCGCCGATTCAATGTGACAAATAAAATTTATCTTTTATTCTTTGACAAATATAAATTTGAAATAGTTATCCATATGTATCTTCATAATGCAAATAATTTGACTCGAAATAATAAAGGCTTATTCCACAAAATCGTTAAACTTTGTGTACTACTTTGCGGAAGTCGAAAAATATCAAAGAGGACGACCATCAATACACTGAAAAGTCGGCAAAGGTATTCAAAAAACACGGAAATTCTTTCATTTTCATAAATATATTGTCTTTTTATGTGTAGTATTACACTCGTTGAGTCTATATTTTTCTTGATCATTTGCAATTTACGGTTTATTTTACTGTAACTTATGTTTTTCCTGCTCGTTAGGGGTAGATGTATGTTACAATGGCTTGACCTAATTACATGAAAAGTGTGAACTGTCAATACTTTGTTATATAGTCATGACAGAACAAATACTGTTTTTTAAGAAGGGAAACGTCAAAGTTTTCTTTAAAGAGAAATTCCTTGATAGCATTATATTATTATGTATTTTTTTCTTTGTTTTAAACCAAAAGTAAAATAGGGACACCCTGTATTTCAAAAGTATAGATTCTCCACTGTGATTGGTTCTTACCGGGTTCAAACTATATACCCCCAATGTACTTCTGTGACCCCAAAAAGCAAGTCACGATGACAGATGTGTTCCTAATTAAATTAATATAATCGAGAATATGAGAAAATATTCCATTATGTTTCTAAATTTTAGTACAAAGACGTGTAGACAATGTTTCAAAGATTTCTCTCATGTCAACAAAGGAAATACCTGATGAGACTTTCAGGATTGTTTATCATGTGCATTGTTCGTTTTATCAATATATATGTTTTCTAAATAAATTTAAAACTGAATAAAATAAAAATTTGAAAATTCCAAAGTTAGCAGATTTAAAAATATCCATCAATGAACAATTTGTAATAAGTATACAACACACACCATTCCAAACTCCAAAGGGACATAGAATATTACAGTTTATGTCTCTAGTCAGTATAAACACAGGATTGTCCGATAAAAAAAATCTGAAAAAAACTCCCACCCTCGACTAAAAAAAATTTTTAGTTAAGGGTAGAAATTTTTCTTTTCCGGATCTTTAAAAACAAAAAATTTTTGAAGATAAAAACTTCAGACTCCTGTGGTACACCTGTATAAACATCTGAAATGTCTAGGACTGGGACAATACAACTTTTCTATATCAATACGTATCACGATATTTGAGCCACGATACGATATGTATCACAATATGATTAATTGCTTATAAAGTCTTTTTTTTTGCATTGAAATAAAAAATTATTTCTTTGAAAATAAGAATAATTTATTCATGTAAAACAAAAATATTTTACTCAAGAGTTGTTAATTATTATTTATTTGAAAACTATTTATAGTTAGCTAATTTATTTTATATATTAAATGTATATATCAAATGTTAAATTGATATTTCTTCGTATGTATCGATATGCGTATCGCCCTCACAGATATCTTGCTATCTCGATATATCATCCCAGCCCTAGAAATGTCGATTATCAGATGAATATATTTAAATTCATTGAAAAGTAGCACAATATTGTTTTATTTTATTTTGTTGCATGTTATAATTTTGTTTGAAGAAAGAGGTAAAAAAAATTGCTATAGTGTAGGTATTTTAAGAGGAAAACCAAAAGGAAAGGATGATAAAGGTTCACATTTTTTGGGGGGTGGTGTAAACATACATTTACATGTATCAAGGTAAACAATTTTCTAAACAAAGGGCCTCTGACAAGATTATTATATTTATTATTTATATTTTTCAGTCACCATGGTGATAGAGGGAGGTGGCAGACCCTCCACAGGGATGACCTCCAAGGAGTTGTGTGAAAATGACGACCTTGCCACCTCTGTCACAATTGACCCCTATTTAGGGTTAATGACCCATAAAATGAATATCAGGTAATACTAATATACCGTAGATGTATGAATTACTAATTTGTTAAAGGCATATTTATTTAGAATTTTTTTTCAATGTAATTTTCTTTAATATTTTCATATACAATATATTATGAACTGCATGCTAATAAATTTTTGTTTAAATTGACAGTTGTTGACAGAAATTTAGAATTTTTGATATTTACATACATGTACAATTGCAGACACCGTCCAGTGAAGCAGAAAGTGCAGGAAGAGGTCAAGCAGTACATGACAGGCTTTGTGAAGGACAATGTGTATGACACGGCACTCAATGAAATCTTCAGTACAGAACCAGTTCAGGCTTTTATACAAAACAAAAGCAAATCCCAACAGACTGTGCTGAGGGAGCATGTATGTAACTCTTATAAAAAGAAAATGAAAGCTGCAGATTTTTTTGGTATGAACAGAATTTTTGATACTTCTAAATGCAGTGATTGAATAAATTAAAAAGACTTACCTGAATGATTTCATTTCAAAAAGTTAGTTATTAACTCATGTTCATAAATCTTAAGTAGATTTAAAAATAAACAAGTCTTCCTCCTTCTATGCGTATGATATGAGAAATTTAATGCCATGGTTTTATTTTTTTCTTGTAGATGTGCAGGTACCTTCGAATGTTTGATCGCAGAGCAGGATTTAACCTTCATCCTTGTTACAGATACTCAATGGAGGGAAGAGTAGGGGCCAAAATTTGCGCCACAAAGCATTGGTAGGAACAGAACATACCGTAAAATATTTATAAATAGATAATGATATTCCAGTGCCAGTAATTTTGAAGTTTTATCCACAAAGTCAATTTTCATACTCATGTATAAACACATGAAAGAAAAATCTACTGAAAAAATTATAGTTAAATATGTAAAAGTCATAATTTTATATAATATGAATTATAGATTTCTTTACTATTAAGTACACAGAAATGTTAAAAGTGCATATAAAATATTTTGATTTTAGGTATAAGAATGACAAAATCCCAATGCTGGTGGGCTGTATAGCGGAACTCTCCAAAGAGGAGGAAGATAAAGTCCTCAAACCAGGGGTCAACGACTTCAGTGTCATGTACTCATGTCGCAAAAACTGTGCCCAGTTATGGTTAGGACCAGCCAGCTTTATAAACCATGACTGTAGGGCTAATTGTCGGGTATGTCCAATGCTGTGTTTAATAGTCCAAATAATTTAGTTTTCTGAAAATATATTGGTTCATTTGCAATTTTTCTGTGCACTGAAAAAAACTTTTGAAATGTTCATCTTCTTATGACAGTATTTTGTTCATTATACTTTTTCAATCTCCTTGTCTTTAGTTTGTGTCCACTGGACGAGACACTGCATGTGTTAAAGTCCTGCGTGACATAGACCCCGGGGAAGAGATCACCTGCTTCTATGGGGAGGACTTCTTTGGGGAGAACAACTGTCTATGTGAATGTGAAACTTGTGAAAGGTAAGTAGGATTTAGTGGTTCAACTTCAAAAAAAAGAAATAATAACCTATAAGACAATTGTAATATCAAAGACAAAAATAAGTTAAAATGGACACTGGGTTATCAGTTTTTAAACTCATGATGGGGTCTGTGTCTATTGCATTGTTTTTAAATAAAAAAAAATATTATCATTGACTTCAGGAGGAAGATGGGAGCTTTTAAACCTGAAGAATCATCATCAATGAATGCGGAGGAGAAAGGTTACAGGTTACGGGACACGGACGACAGACTGACCAGGCTAAAAGTCGATTCAGAAAAGTCTCAACCAGTAGCAGAGATGTTAGGGGCAGCTCAATATGGCAATGGTGAGAATACCACTTGCTACAAAATGCAACAATATTTTTGAGGAGCTAATTTTTAGCTCTACTGGTCAGAGACCAGAAGAGCTTATGCGATAGTAATGTGTCCGGCGTCCGTCCGTCTGTCTGTCTAGCTGTCTGTCTGTCCGTCTGTCTGTAAACAATTTTTCAAAACGCTACTCCTCCTACAATTTTAGTCTGATTTCAATATTACTTGGCACACAAGTAGACTACACTAAGATACATAGAATAGTGCATCAGTTTTTGATTTCGATGAACGGTGTTGCCATGGTTACTAAAAATAGAATTTTCTGTGAAATTCCTTAAAAACGCTACTCCTTCTAAAGTTTTTGTCTGATTTCAATATAACTTGGCACACAAGTAGACTACACTAAGATACGTAGAATAGTGCATCGATTTTTGATTTCGATGAACGGTGTTGCCATGGTTACTAAAAATAGAATTTTCTGTGAAATTCCTTTAAAACGCTACTCCTTCTACAGTTTTGGTCTGATTTCAATATAACTTGGCACACAAGTAGACTACACTAAGATACATAGAATAGTGCATCGGTTTTTGATTTCGATGAACAGTGTTGCCATGGTTACTAAAAATTAAATTTTCTGTGAAATTCATTTAAAACGCTACTCCTTCTACAGTTTTGGTCTGATTTCAATATAACTTGGCACACAAGTAGACTACACTAAGATACATAGAATAGTGCATCGGTTTTTGATTTCGATGAACGGTGTTGCCGTGGTTACTAAAAATAGAATTTTCTGTGAAATTCTTTCAAAATGCAACTTCTCTAACAGTTTTGGTTTGATTTCAATATAACTTGGCACACAAGTAGACTAAACTAAGATACATAATTGTGTATATTCGTTTTTGATTTCGATGAATGCTGTTGCCGTGGTTACTAAAAATAGAAATTTCTAGTGAAATTCTTTCAAAATGCTACTTATCCTACAGTTTTGGTTTGATTTCAATATAACTTGGCTCACAAGTAGACTACACAAAGGTTCATAATTCTGTATTTCAGTTTTTCACTTCATTGAATGGTGTTGCCATGGTTACTAAAAATAGAAATTTCTGTGAAAGTCATTAAAAACGCTACTCCTCCTAAAGTTTTTGTCTGATTTCAATATAACTTGGCACACAAGTAGACTACACTAAGATACGTAGAATAGTGCATCGATTTTTGATTTCGATGAACGGTGTTGCCATGGTTACTAAAAATAGAATTTTCTGTGAAATTCCTTTAAAATGCTACTCCTTCTACAGTTTTGGTCTGATTTCAGTATAACTTGGCACACAAGTAGACTACACTAAGATACATAAATCTGCGCATCGGTTTTTATTTTGCGAACGGTGTTGCCATTTACTAAAAATTAATTCTGTGTGAAATTCCTTTAAAACACTACTCCTTCTACAGTTTTGGTCTGATTTCAAAATAAGTTGGCACACAAGTAGACTACACAAAGATACATAAAATAGTGCAATGGTTTTTGATAAGTACAAACCAGTAGAGCTACAGTCTCGACAGAGACTTCTGGTTTTCCTTTTATTGATAGCATTTATCAGCAAAACCAAATCCAAAATGAAATTTTAACACCCAGAAATTGTTATCCTATATGGTAATTTTTTAAAACGGTTTCATCCCATAAAAATTTCATTAGGTTATAATTAAAAAGAAATTCATCCCAGTGAATTTTTTTAAGGCTACAGTTGAGTATTGTTTTGTCTAAACTGATCAAGTTTAAGATTTGTATTTGAAGAATTTGTATTGTAGAGAACTGGAATATCAGAGACGACAACCTGAAGAAACAGTCCCATCTCCTGAAAAAAGCGGAGCTCAAGAAAAGGGGAATCACACGCTACGATGCTGAAATTCTTCTGTCTCAGGGTCTAAAATTACCTGATCCCAAAGAGTTGGAGGACAAACCGCATCATACCAGGGGCTGTCAGTCAGCCACAGGTCATAAATTTGTTTTATTTGTGTCATATGTGAAAATTTTTCTCTTAATGCAGTACGAGAATGAATAAACAATAAAAATAGTTTTTGCAATGTATATGAATAGCAAGCTATGTTATACATTATTTAATCAATCATGTTAAAATCCTTTGGGAATCTTAAAATTTAAAACTTATTTTTTGGTTTTTAGGGGCTAAAGTGAATAGGAAAAAGTATTACAATAAACGTGGAAAAAACGGCAGATTTCAGATAAAGAAAGAATCTCATCCAAAAATTTCTGAACACGACACTCACCCTGTAGCAGCTAAAATCAAGTCTCCCAACAAAAGAATGAGTTTCACGTTTGATGATTCACGAGACTGTAGTGTTGAAAGGACGTCATCACCAATCAAAAACGAGAAAGTGAGTAGTGTGTCTGCGGGTATCGTACCCCGTTCTAGTCCAAGGTTGCGCAGAATGTGCCAAAGTGTGACAATTGGTGAAGTGGCTTGTTCAGATATTACAAACACTGAACCACCGCCGTGTGTGAAGACAGAACCAGTGAGTACGATTCGTATGAGTCCCAGGGTCCGGTCTGTTCACACAGAACGTGAGGACTCCTGTCCAAGTTTGTCCCCTCAGGAACCACACTGTGATAGTCTAGAGAACTCTTTCAGTCAGCCTCCCCATTTATCAGAACTCCATGTCACCACAGTGCCACACCAACACTCCTCTCACCATGGCATGTCACCACGACTTCGTCGCACCAGTGTAACTGGGTCTGACACCTGTCAATCACCGCATCATTTCTCTGACATATCAGGTAGCGTTAATAATAAAAAAAACTAATTTCAAATATTCTGTGATTTATTAGGTAGTACAAATAAAAAAGATTATTATGGGCCCCAATTCTACAAAATTGATATGGAAAATCATTATTGTGTGAATTTTTCTTTGCAGGATTAAAATCCTCAACCACCCAAGTCCAGTTGAGTCCCAGGGTTCGAAACTTAAGTGGTGTCAATGGCATAAGACAGAGTCCAAGATTACAAGAACGCTCAAATTCTTTGGTGGAAAGTGTTAAATCGGCAGCCGTGAAGTGTTTGGACAAGCAGTTTCTTAGAGACTGCCAGAAAGAGGACTGTGAAATCGATGTAGTGGGAATCGACCAGGAGTCAGGGTTAAACTCAGCAGAGCCATTCAATGGCTTTAACAAACTCATGTGGGGTTCCATTCTGAAATCTGGGTCGGCCACATCTTCCTGTCAAGGAAAGACCAACCAGTATGAGGAACAAAATAATAACAGTCAAATTTATCGTTCGCATTCGGACCATTGTCTAGAAAAGAAAAGGCCAAAAGAGCACCATAGGAATCGTAAACGCAAACTCTCGTACTCCGTCACTCCATCGTTTGAAGACTGCGACGAGACCTCGCCGGTCAAAAAGGTCCCAAAGTTAATTTTCAGGAAGAACAAAGGGCAGGAGGAAGAGTTATTGTTCCTAGAGCTAGAGGACAAGGCGAGAAGAAATGTCGGTGAACATTCGAACCCAGTGAAACCTCCTTTTCCAAAGAAATTAAAACTCAAATTAGGAAATGATATGACAGAAATAAATCTACCTCAGTGATTTCTTGTTTTGTCTAAAATTTAGGTTTCATATTCTAATTTACTATCAAAGCACATTAAATTTCAATCTTGTTCCATTTTAAATTAAAGTTGACCCATTTTGCTACTTTAAATTAAATTGTCCTTGTTAAGTGATCTCATTTTTAAATTTTGCCCAATTAGTACATGTACATTTTTACTTCAATGTACATGTATTTAAAAGGGCAGTAGTAAATTGATTTTGTTCCAGTATGCAGTATTTCGATTTGTTTTATATTATATGCTTTTTCCAAACAAAACAATCAATTCTATGCAGGGTTATATTCATTTTTAACTTATTTTTATCCACATATAAAATATTCTTAATATACTCTAACCATTTGAAGGGATTGTGTTTAATTCTGAAAAATTAGAAATTGCATGTTTCTTTTTTGACAGAAGGAATTTGGTATTGTTTAATTAGAACATGAAATGAGATCATAATTTAAATTATCAAATGTATTAATGTAGAGTCTAATCAATGTGTGTAACCAAAACCCATCTGATAAAATATTTCGAAAATCATTTATTTTAAATTTACTCAGGTCTTACATCTTTAACAGATTTTTAATAGAGGTAATGAATTACGACCATTTTCTATCAATTTTTTTTTTCGCTATATTTCTACTGAAAAGTCATGTATTTGAAAAAAAAAAGTTTTGTATAACTGCTGTGTATTCTGTTCACAATGATAATGTAGGGCAGTCATATTTGCTGTATTTTTCAGCAAATTATGTTGATATCTTTCTATGACGTAATAAACAGCTTTGATGCATGCATGTACTACATGTATACACCTGAAACAGTTTTTGGGGGATAAAAATTATTTGTGGAAAAATAACCATATGATGAATTCATTATAATAATTACCTCGAACAACTGACTTAATTTTTTTTCAAATATTTTTTTAAAATGAAAAATTCAATGATTTTAAAGGATTTTTTGAAACTTTGTTTCTGTAGCCTAAAATGTATTAAAATTCCTAATTGGAAGATTTTCCTAGAGGTATTCAGTTTCTGTGAAAAAAAATATAAGATGAGAGGTAAAAAAGCTCCTTTAGGATTAATAAATATGCATGCATAAAACAGTTTCATTTATTCTGTATTTTAACAATTTACTATTAAAGTGGCAGATTTTGTGTTTTACTGTCACTTAGTGATTTATAAGTTAAATGTTAATTAGAAGCGTGATAATTGTTAACAGTATTTGTTGAGATTTGCTGTTGTATTACTGTTACATTTTTCATCTTTGTGTTTGTTTTCTGATACATTTATTATTTACTGTTCAATTATTCATTTACTAATTTATGATCGAGCAAATTTTGTATCATTCTGTGTGTGTGTCAGTCACAAGATTTCTGAAGATTTTCAGATTCATGTCCCATACAGAACAAATGAAATGGCAAAACCCAACAGTTTTTTGTTATCAAACTTGAGTCTTTCAAACATGTGTTTTTCTACTTCTTCTTTTATAAAAAGAAAATTTAATACCGGTATGTGGAATTTTGACCATAAACTCAAGTAAATACCCGGTAAAGTACTTTTGTTTAAAAAATTATAAATGAATTGGGTAACTGAAATTGAAATTTTTGAGATTGTTATTTTTTCTTCAATTACTGGTACAGAAATATTGTTTGCATATCCACATTTATTGTATTTCTGATATGAAAATCCTGACCCACACTTTGAAATTGGAGCAAGCACAAGAAAATGTAATATTTCAGTTAAATCACAATGTAACAAGAGAGATTGTTGCTTGTTGTAACAGGAACACTTGATTAGTTTGATATAGTGTATTATAATTTATTGATATGTTGGCATGACAACAATAAAAACAGAATTCAAGGTTTTTTCTTGTCCTATATGTCTTGTAGCTGATATTGACTGTAGCATTTTACTGATTTGTTCTACAGGCCATATACTATACCAGAATATCTTAACTTGACATTCTTGATGAAGATGAAAATGTCCATAATTTGTTTGATAGTAATGAATTACGTTATTATAATAATTGGTAAATTTCTTTTTTCACTTGGTTCTTCTTGATCTCAATTCTTTCAACTGGAACTTGGTTGTCAACAAATGTTGGAGACTTTTCCTTTTAAAATGAAACAATTTTTATACAAGTAAACTTATCTGATAGAAAGGTGAGCAATGCATTTTTACTTAAAAGTGCAAATTCAAAATGGGAGGGGAGTGGTGAATAAGAAGGGATAAAAGAAAACATAGCATTTTACCGGTATTCAATATATGGGTTTTCTTAAAATCTAAAATCAGTAAGTCCAGTCCTTCTCTGTATTTCTAAGTCTCTCTCTCCCCTTTCTTTCTCTCAAACAAGGTTCCATCTACTAGTATTTTCTATTCTATCTTCCTCTCTTTCCTAGCAACAGTTCATTTCCAAGTCTTTTCCTGAGAGAATCAAGGAAAGGCTTGATTACTGGGTAAAAAACTTGCATGTAGAGAATGGTTTATTTAATATAATTTAAGTTCAATATGCTGTCCCAGTCTTTGTCTTATTTTGCATGGGCAAATTCGAATATCGGGTTACGGTCTTTAGGATTAGAATTTATAAATGTGTGTGGGAGGGGGGTTGATTCCACTTTAATTGCTTATTTCTTTCTAAACTGTAAACAACTTTTTAGCTCACCTGAGCCGAAGGCTCAAGTGAGCTTTTCTGATCAAAATTTGTCCGTCGTCTGTCGTCGTTGTCGTCGTCGTTGGCGTTGTCGTCGTAAACTTTTTACATTTTCATCTTCTTTTCGAGAACCACTGGGCCAATTTCAACCAAACTTGCCACAAAGTATCCTTAGGTGAAGGGGATTCAAGTTTGTTCTTCAGAAATAGTGAAAATTTGGTGGTATGTTTTAAAAATCATGTCCCCTGGTTAATTCAAGTTTGTTCAAATCATGTCCCCTGGGGTAAGGGCGGGGCCACAATGGCCGATCAAAGTTTTATATAGAAATATATAGGGAAATTTATTAAAATCTTCTTCTCAAGAACAGCAAAGGCATGAATGATCATATTTATATGGAAGCATCCTCAGGTAGTGTAGATTCAAGTTCGTTCAAATCATGACCCCAGGGGGTAGGGTGGGGCCAAAATGGCCGATCAAAGTTTTATATAGGAATATATAGGAAAAATCTTTAAAAATCTTCTTCTCAAGAACCATTGGGCCAGGAAAGATGAAACTCAGGTAGAATCATCCTCATGTAGTGTAGATTCAAGTTTGTTCAAATCATGATCCCCGGGGGTAGGGTGTGGCCAAAATGGGTGAACAAAGTTTTACGTAGGAATATATAGGAAAAATCTTTAAAAATCTTCTTCTCAAGAACCACTGGGCCAGGAAAGATGAAACTCAGGTAGAATCATCCTCATGTAGTGTAGATTCAAGTTTGTTCAAATCATGACCCCTGGGGGTAGGGTGGGGCCACAATGGCAGATCAAAGTTTTACATAGGAATATATAGGAAAAATCTTTAAAAATCTTCTTGTAAAGAACCATTGAGACGGGAAAGATGAAACTCATGTGAAATTATCCTCAGGTAGTGTTGATTCAGCTTTATTCAAATCATGACCCCCGGGGATAGGGTGTTGCCAAAATGGCCGACCAAAGTTTTACTTAAGAAATAAGATATCATTTTTAAACATCTATCGGGATATAAATACGGGTTGGTCACGAGATTAAATTCCATAAAGCCCGAAGGATGTTTTAAAATGATACCTTATTACTTATATTTACATTTGTGACTTATTCATACCTTATATTTACATGATTGTGACTTTTAACGTGTGAAATGCATTATTTTTCAAACCCAACGGCATGTATGTTATCCACTGAACGCGCGTCGACCCTTTATGACGTCACTGAGAAATTACGTCGAACGATTATCTATACACACATCTATGACCTCTTGACCCCCTACCTGTATTTATACAGTTATAGATACTCATTGCTTTCAGTAGTGTTATATAAAGGAAAACATTTGCAAATGTAAATATATAGGAATATATAGGGAAACCTTTTAAAATCTTCTTTTCAAGTACTTCAAAGCCATGATTAGTAATATTTATATGGAATCATTCTCAGGTAATGTAGATTCTAGTTCATTCAAATCATGATCCCCTGGGGGGTAAAATTCAACCCCAACCCCAACCCCCCTCACCTCAGTAAACTTTCAGTTCTGATCAGATATGTGCTTTTTCCTAGCGGATGTGCTCAGGTGAGCGCTGTGGCCCCTGGGCCTCTTGTTTAAAATTACTAGAAAATCTCTTGAAAATTCTTCTAAGCATTATCCTCCGTATCATAAAAACTTACTTTATTTTCTTCTTTTTAGTCGGGCTTATTGCTCAAAGGCTTATGTGATCCTGTTCGAGGCAGGATGTTAACCCCATAGTCGCCATTTCAAAGTTACGTGCAAAAATATAGACCCTAATCCGTTGAAAACTCAACCGCTTGGAATTTTGATCATGAAAACGGTTCAAAATTCAACAAAAATAAAAAACACTATATAAAAAAACATAAGTGGTAATGACTTTGAAAACTTCATAATCAAAGAACATAGTTCATTAGGTGAAGGGTTTTTGATAACCTGTTACAGCTGTAGTTTTTTTTGGCTTACAAATTAATTTCTTTCACTTATATATCATGTAAACAAAACGGAAAATTGTAGAAAACGGAAAACATAATATATTATTTCAGATAAAATCACTTCAAGTAGACTATATTTTATCAGAAACGATATATATTAATGACTTTGTCAATCCTCCATTATTAAATACAAGTTGATTTAGTCATGTGCAGTCTCTTATTCACGAAAATTGTTGACATAGCAGTGAAGCTGATATCACCTTTTAATGAATGTGTCTGTTTGAAGGGGGGGGGGGTATATAACAGCATAAAGAATTTGTTTACTAGACACAGAATCTGAAATGTGATAGTGATTAGTTTTTTTTTTTAATTATTATAATATTCAAATGTATAATTTATTACTTATACATTATGAATAAGCCACAACTGATTTTAAACTCTGAAGTAAATGTATTATTAAATCTGTGTGTCAACTAAAACAAATAATTTAAACTCAAATATTGAAACCTTTCATTTAAATAATTTAGCAAATAAAATACTTTTTAAAAAAATTAAATAAAACAAACTAAATGAAATAAAATAAACAATCAGTAATTGATGAGACGTAACAATGCCTTGAAGTCTTTGATTTCTACACCTTTATATAAAAACATATATTGGATATCAATTTCCTCAAAAATTGATAGGAGACATAATCAAATAATTAAATTAGCATGACAAAGACATTCATTATTGATTTCAGACTGGAAACACATTTATTTAATATTACAAACAGTTAACTTAATTTAAATGTGACCTGGTTACCAGCTACTAATATGTAGAGAGACAAATTTACTTCTTATTAATGAAATTTATTTCAAAGTGTGTGAATTTGTCTGAAATTAATAAAAATGAAATATAGTGTGTAAGAGTTGAAGTGAAACTTTAAATTATTTAATTACAGTTTAAACAATAGTTTAATTTGTTATATGTAAATCAAATCATGCCAATTGTTCCATAAAAAAATACATTTCATATTTTTACAAATTTATTAATAAGATTTTTATATATCCCTAATTAAGAAGTGGACGTAGAATTCACTTAATGATTGTAATAATGAATGTTGAACATTTCAATATATGTTTCAAAGGAATATATATGAATTGTACAAGTATAAATGTAGATTTTTGTAAAATGCTGTGAAAAGACAAAATAACTCTTTCAAAGTATGCATTGTAAGATGTTAATGTATTGTGATTTTATGAATACTGTATGTTTATAGAATTGTCATTTTGATAATATATAAAACTGTACTAATATTATTTATATGTATATTTACAATATTATAAACAGTATATTATCTCTTGATAATAAAAATAAAATCATCAAATAGCAGGTGTCATGTGCTTATTAAAGAATCTGTCAGGATACACAATTGACCCCTGTTACAATTGTTTTATTCGGGAGGGGGGAAAGGAGGTTCCAACTCCCAAAATCTTTCAATACTAAATATAATTTGTAATACAGTACTAACTTGCTATACAGTAATTACAATGATTGTATCAAAATGTGTGTGTGTATCTATATGTGTGTGTGGGGGGGGGGGGGTCAATGTGAAAGGTTTGTTTGGAAATAAATTTTGGGATTTTTATATTCAAATATTCGATATCTAGATAAACCATGGTAAGAGATATATATATGTAAAAAAAATCTGGATATTAAAGAAACTTTTTGGTAAATTTAAATATACGTTGTTTTGCAGTTCTTTATATTCAATGGATTTTGGAAAGTTTTGTAAAAATAATAGGGGGGGGCTTGAAGACCCCGTAAAACATTTGCACTGTTCAAAATGTACATGAAATGCACGGGGTGATAGCCCCCCCCCCCCTGTATGTTTATTTCTATTTGTGTGAAAAAAAAAAAGGAAAAGAAATATCATTTTTGTGATACTGATAAATCCCGTAAAACAACTTCCCCCCTTTAAAAAAATGTTCCAATTTTGCGCGTAGTCTGAATGTAAAAATACTATAGTAGTTATTTTTGTCTTGACAGATACATGTACATATGTATGTACATATTAGTATCAATTTATTAGATGCTATTTCAAGACAATGTCTTTTTTTCATGAATGAGCTCTTTTCTTTAAGAGAAAAAAAAGATTCGTTAAATACGATGGATACTCATGATTTGAGTCAAGTTGGTATGTATTTTATAGATAATTGAATGTATACATGTACACGTGCCATTTCAAAGTTACGTGCAAAAATATCATAGTTTAC